TCCGCGGATACCTCGAACATACCTTCTAACCTTATCACGAGTCCCATAAAGTTCCTCGAGGTGTGTCCGAGAGCCCAGCGGAGCGTGGACGGAGACAAAAGCAACGTACGCGCACACACCTGGACGATCCGAAGAGAGAGCAATCTGTTCCAGATGCCCGATACCCTAAGTCGCGCATACCATCACCTGGCGTTGCTTAGCTGGACCGGACGATTCGGACCGCGCTCGCGTCGAGGATCCGGCATTTTTAGCTGGTCTCCTAATGGCAGCTGCTCGATAAATCCGCGCTGAAAGTGGTCTGGGCGTGTACACCGGCCGCGAGATCCGGCTCTCGGAGCCGTTTATCAGCCGGCCGGAGCACCCACCTTGTCAGTAAAATCGCGATGCCGATACGCCGCGGATTGCGTGGGTCGTCAATACCGCAGCTGGAGGCACTAACTTGGTAATTGGTCCGGTATCGAGATCCCTAGAAAGCAGTTAGGAGTGTCGATGGCCGGGGAACGACTTGACGATCGGCATGAATATCCGATACGGTTACCGGAGGGAGGTCTGGAACCGGCAAGGTGTGTTCATGTCGGGGTTTAGGGAGTTACTGCGCCAAAGTCAGGATAAACAAAAAAGAACGAGGGGCGATTCATTTGGAAATCAGCGAAACCGATGTCCGTTGAGAACCGATTGCCTTTCATTTCAAATGATGAATAACAGGGTGGTCTGGTATCAGGTGGCAGTCGGCCTTAACATTGTGGCAATGTTTTGACGACTTCCAACGATTTTCATTGATTTCTGCTTGCTGTTTCCAGCCAGTTTGTACGTGATTTCGAGCATTAAGAGGATGCGAAAGTGACGAGAAGAGGTCTCGTTTATGAAACTTTTCTCTGAACTGAGGGTACTGAATCGTTTCAAACTTGACAATGTGAGCATGGAGGCTATACGAAAAGTCCTGAAACTCCGAAAAGTTCATTTGTTATTAAAATTCTTGAAAATAGGTATAAATAAATTTTCCCTCTTTGACGCTACCTTCACATCACCTTAAGGATAGGTGAAAGTGGCATCCGAAGTTCAATTGTTCATAAAACTTTTCTACGAACTAGGTGTCTCAAATCGTTTCATACTTTAAAACGTGAATATGGAGACCCTAAGATAGGCATTGATACTCGCGAAATTTCATTTCTTATCAACTATTTCTAAAAAGTACCTATAAACAAATTTGAAAAAAATTGAAATTTCATGAGTTTCAGGACCTTCCATATAGTCTTCCTATTTACATTGTAACGTTTCAAACTATTCGGCAAACCGAGTTGGGAGAAAAGTTTTATAAACGAAACCTCTTCGATGCCACTTTCATATCACCTTAAACAGACTGGAAACGGAATCATGGAACAATTACACATATGAAGTGACTAGATAGACTTCGATGGGGGTTTAATCTCCTCTCTGCCATTCAGGATCACGCCTCGGAGCAGCATTAACCCTTTGAGTACTTAGTCCCTTTAACATATGGGCGAAATTTATCAAAGCGTGCAGGCAATACTGGACCAAACGTCGGACGCATTTAAACGTCTTTGGGCTGCAAAGGGTTAAGCAGATTTGATGACTTAGACGTTACCGAGACTTGTCTCCGGCAAAAATAACCGGGTCCTTTGCCCGATAACTTCGCGAAGAACCGACTCCCGTTTCCGTGCAAGTTTAATCCGCTTTTTGTCGATCAAGCCCGTGACGCCTTTCAAGATCCAATGAACTCGCGTTTTCGATCTGATCCGATACCGCGATTCTTGGTTCCCTTTGCTTTTGGCGGTGACTCGAGTCTTCACCTTCATAAATAAATTATGCAAATCGAGGGGCTAGTCGTTGATCGATGTCCTAAACGAAGATGCTGATTGATCGAACGTCGATGACAGTGACGGGTTACCAAGAGTGCGTTGGTCGTCGCTCGGGAGATAGAAGGCGATTATTATACTCTCCGTTTTACACGCATCCCAAGCCGCGGGTCCGCTTTATGAAAAATTAACCTTCCCAACTTAACATTATTTGAACCTTTTCGCTCTCGTCTTTTTACATGCTCGATTCATCCACCACTCCAGGAGTAGGCGAAATTCAATCACTCTTAATTTCGATCCAGGCATGATTTCCGTCGTTATACTCGCGCAGGTATTTAGTTAAAACGAATCCTGAATACAGCTTCAAATTGCATGTATTAAAGAAACAAATGAAAGATTGTAATCATGAGTTGATGTCAAACGGTTTGCGATGTAGATGATTTTTAGTTCGCCGCTCGCTTTCGGCAGGTTTTGAAAATAATTATAAATTTTGCAGAGTAAGTGTTAAGATTCATCGTCCATTTTAAATATTAATAGGCTGTAGCACCCTATTGTCCAGGCAATAGGGTCTGAGATTTTGCCAAAACTTATTCTATGGTACAAGGATGGATTAATATTGAGTACCACGGCTGGGCGTACAATAAAGTCACAATTTCGGTAACATCCTTGGTAAAACCTCAGGTCAAAGTCTGCCCAAGCATTCTAATTTCAAAATGAACATGGTGTTTTGAAAATTTCCAGCCCAAAATGGACTCAAACCTAGTTCCGTTATTGGCGTATCCCAATTGTTGATGATTTTCTATGTCTCGAGAAAACTGTGGGCTAACTCTTGTTCCAGCATGTGACCAAGATTGGCATCTGAATTCAGGATTGTTTATATGCCAAACTTGGTCATAGACTCGAATCAGAGTTAGTCCAATTTTCTGGAGACGTGAAAAATCATAAAAAATTAGAATACGGCAATAAAAGAAACTAGGTTTGAATCAAAAAACAAAAATTATATAAAAAACAACCCTGAATTCAGGTGCCAATCTTGGTCACAGGCTCGAATCAGAATTAGCCCAAAGTTTTCTCAAGACGTGGTAAACCATGAAAAATTCGAATACGTCAAAAGCGGTATTAACTTTTTGGGCCGAGTATTTTAAAACGCATTGTTCATTTCGAAATTTGAACGACTGGGCCGATTTTGGCCCGAGATTTTATCATGCATGTTATCAAAACTGTGTCAATATGGTACGCCTTAAGAGCCAATATTGGCCCACACCTGTGCCAAAGCCAAGCGTGGGAGGTTATTCAAATAAGATTGTCGAATTTATAGAATAACAGTCATTCCTCGGCAAAGTTTTGGCCTAACTGCTATGTAATTCTACTGAAACGATCATCGCGGAGGTTTACTTAAGATTAATGATGATGCCACATTATACGTTTGTACCAATTTTGGACATACAATTGGTGGCACGATTTCGGTAAAATCTTTAGCTATATCTTGGGCAGAGACGTCGACTCAATTGTTCAAGTTAAAAAAAATGTGGCGATAGAAAACTCTAATTTCAGCATTCATTCGTTCTAACATTGCCGTTATGTTTCACATATATTTTAATTTTAACAGTCCAACATGATTTATCAGTATTCGGATCAATATAATTGACTGATACCTGACATTTTCAATGTGTCAGGACAATTCTTAGATGATCAGGACTGATATGTCAAAGTTTCGGACAGGTTGGTCTAATACCCTTAAAAAAAAGTGTTGTATTCGAATCGACTAATTTGAAGCGAGTTTTACTTCACCTTAACCCTTTGAGTCCCACGCACCGCTTTCGCGCTCTTCAGAATTTATGTCGAAAAAACCCAATAGGTTTGTTCGTTTTGCCTACACTTTTTACACTTTTACGAAAAGTGTACCCTTTGGCGTTCGTTTTGACGGAAATGACGCAGACGCTGCTGTTCCTTTTGTGAGGACATCTACCCCGAGGGTACACTTGCTCTACACTTTCTACCCTTGATCCCGAGCGAGGGCAAGAAGGGTAGCCCGCGAATTTGGCGGCAAATTTTAAAATTGAAAAGACCAACAAACAGGAAAATACAAAATTTATGCTAACGTCTCAACGCAATATAAACAGAAGTAATTACTAATGCATCTTCTTCGTGTATAGAACGATTTAGCGTTTTAGTTTTGTACATAATGTTTGAAACAATTTACAATAATTATGTATTACTACCTAACCGCGGTTGGAATGAACTAAACTATGATTTTTCCCTGACGTAGTTAAATTGTTTTTCATCCTCCTGCAACAATATTCTGACCCTTATCGATCCTCGATACCTGAAATTCGTGAAAGGAATTTTCATCTTCTACAATTACAAGGTAATAGAACGAATTGTAGGATTTGAAGAAAACGAAGACAGCCCAAGAAGGAAGGCTGGAAGAAGCAATACATTTTCGTATTCATCATCGTCCGATACGGATAACCTCAAAATCGCGTACCTCTCTCCTAAATCGGTCATCTTGGACTTTCGTGAGGTTTCTGGCTTTCGGGACCTCGACGAAAGTGTATCTACCCTTCTGCACTTTTCAAGAAAAGTGTAGTACCCTCGTTACCCTCGAGGGTGGAAAGTGCAATCAACGCGACGAACGTAGTGCATTTGAACGACAATTGACCGCGCACTTACAAACTGACGAAACGCGTTCAACTTTCCAGACGAATTTTTCGACACAGAACAAAAGAAGCGCTATCACGCCGCTTGGATCTTTTCGCATCCCATTCCGAAAGCGCTATCGCGCTGCTCGTCTTTTTTCGACCGTGTTTTTTTAAAAACCTCTGGTACTCAAACGGTTAAAATCGCTGGAATCACTTCATACCTCGGCCAAGTTTGGTTGGCTAACATTGGCCAAGGATGTCCGATATTGGATGAAAATTGCGCCGGGATTTAATCGCTGCCTGGGTAATCGCTAATTAAACGGAAGAATTCCCTTCCGGGGATGTAAATCCCCGGAAACGCCCGATAACGTAGCTCTCTCCTGTATAAGAAAATATTTTTCTTTCATTCTCTTCGGGAGCTAAAGATCCCCTTCCGCCATCCAACAAAAAGATAATTCCCAAGTGCCGATCCGTTCCGTCTCTTGGGAAAAATCGAGCCGGGTTCTTGGCAGAAGGCGGGGAGCGTATTTCCTAGCCTTACCTCTGATTGTTGTCCTTCCGGTCCTTTGAATCACATCGTTCCCCCGAATCCACGGACCCGGTGGATCGCGCCGAAAATCCCCCTTCCGGGAGTGAAAACGTCCTGAGGAACTCCCCCGGGCGAAACTAGATCCGAAAGAGAAGGCGCGACATTCGGGAAGAAAAGAGGAGGCCGGAGGTTTATTTGCGGCGAGCGTCGCGGCGTTGGTCGTCCCGGAACGACTACGGTCTCGACGTAGGTCCCTGGGTCTCGGAACCGGTGGCACCGAGGTGGGTCCTTTTCCGAGGAATTCCGGAGCTCGCGTGACCGAGGCCGAGGAACGCGGCAGAACGGGGACCAGCGTCGCTCTGGCGTCCGCACACGACCGCAGACTCTGGCCAACTAGATTGAGTTGTGACGGGCGAGAGAGCCGAAGGCCCCGTGCACCGTCCCCCCACCAGCCACCCACAGGGGTCCAGGGCACCCCAACCTGCGGACCCCGCCTGATTGAGATACCAGCCGGGCCCCCACCCGGGTCTACACCCGGGCCTCCACCCGGGCCCTCGGATCACGCCCTGGGGCTCTCAACCCCGGACTCCGAAGCGACCCTAGGAGCGTAGAATAATATCTGTATATTTCTTTACAATCTTTCCTAAATATCTCAAGCGACGGATTCTTTAAGATTTCTTATAGATTANCGTTTTGCAAATATTTCAAATGTCTGCTAAATAGTTACAAAATGTACGATATTTGTTAAATATATAGAAAATATAGGACAAATATTTTGTACTATTAGGGGTTGCGCCGTTCGCTCCCGATAAGCGACCGGCAAGATCTTTAAGGTGATGTGAAACACGTCGAGGAACTTGATCGACGTCGGTAAAAAAGATTATCAAAATATCTGTGTTGAATTATGGTCGAATTGGGTATTATACTAAATGGTTAATCCACTTGTCGTTTGTAATTGTAAAGAATACGAAATAAAACTCCATAAATCTTCTGGATTCATGGTTCCTGAGGCCCTAATTAACTGCAGAGGGACCCCCTGCGCCATCTGTGATTTCCATGTGAACTAAATTTTCACTCCAAGACCTCGTATTCCCATTGTTTTAGCATAGCAGCGCATAAGACACTTTATTTGCCTTTATCCCGTTCAAATGCGAGTTTATCGATTACCAGAGTGTTCACAATTGTTGCAATACTTTCGTTTCTCATATTAGAGCCTTCAATAATTGGGTATCGATCGAAATATGAGAGCCCGACGCCGTGGTTCTAGTCTGAGCTAAGTTAAATATTTCTTTTGTAAAATCCAAATTTTGAAAGTGTCAGGATAATTCCTAGGTGCTCACGAGTCGTGTGTCAAGATGTCGAACAGTTCGATCCAATACCCTTAAAGAAAGTCTCTTATTCAAATCGACCTATTTGAGGGGTGTTTCACTTCACCTTAAACGCGAGTGAATTTTTTAGGATGAAAGATGTTTTTGATGCGAGAAATGCTAAGGAACCGTTTGCTGGAGCGTCGACGTTGGGAGTGGTTTGAGAACCACTTTTGCCTCCTTTTGGTAGGGCGCAGGGCCTTCGGCAGGACAATGGTCCCGAGCGAACCGAACCGAAGTAAACCTTAAGAACCGACTCGAAAAGCGATCCAAAGAGTGGAGGTGTCTGGCCGAGCAGCCTAAATAAACCGTGGCACGTGTGTCTCAGAGCTCAAATCCAAACAACTTGAACGTATTCGGTAGTCGGCTTAAAAATCGACAAGTATCGGCGCACTCGCCGCGTAACGATCTTACATAACCCCTGCGGAGAAATCTCTGATGCTCCTTAAATTTTTGTTTTGCGCCTCTCAAGGAAAATCTTGACAATGCTTACAGTTTTTATTTAACTTAGGGTAAAGCGAGGGATATCGTCCTGTCGGTCAAATTGTACCATTACGATATTTAAGGTGAAGTGAAACCCCCTTCAAATCAGTCGACTCGAATACAACACTTTTTTTTAAGGGTATTAGACCGAACTGTCCGAAAGTTTGGCACATCACTCCTGATCATCTAAGAATTGTCCTGACACATTCAAATTTTGAATTTTTGGAAAAAACTTTCTAACTTAGCCCAGACCAAAACCAAAATGGCGTCGAGCTCTCATATTTCGATCAATATACAATTATCGAAGGCTCTGATATGAGAATCGAAAGGGTCAGGACAATTTTACGACAATTTAGAACGCTCTGGTAACCGATAAACTTGCATTTGAACGGAATAAAGGCAAAAAAAGTGTTGTATGCGCTTCTATGCTAAATCGATGATATTACGAGGTCTCGGAGTGAAAATTTAATTGACCTGGAAATCACAGATGGCACAGGGGGTCCCTCTGCAGTCAATTAGGGCCCCAGAAAGCATGAATCCAGAGGATTTCTGGAGTTTTACTTCGATTTCTTGATATTTATTGTACGAAAACGACAGGCGGAGCATGCCATTCGGTTCAATACCCAATATAATTCGACCCAGCTGTTAATATAAAAACGAACGTCGGCAACGTAGACATTTAGAAAAATCTTCTTTATCGACGTCGACCAAGTTCCTCGACGTGTTTCACTTCACCTTAAATCCAAGCAACTTGAATGTATTCGGTAGTCGGCTTAAAAATCGACAAGTATCGGCGCACTCGCCATGTAACGATCTTACATAACCCCTGCGGGGAAATCTTTCATTACTCCTTGAATTTTTTCTGGCGCCTCTCAAGCAAAATCTTGACAATGATTACACTTTTTGTTTAACTTAGGGTAAAGCGAGGGATATCGTCCTGTCGGTCAAATTGTACCATTACGATATTTAAGATGATATGAAAGGTACTGAGAAATTTAATCGACGTCGATAAATTAAAATTTATCTGTACCCTTTTTGATGGTAACGTCATTTTGAATGCTCAAGTGGGAACATAAGCTGGCGCGTCCTGTTACCGACATTTATATTTACGTTTAAGTCTTTTACAGTTTAGTTTGAAAATTATACGAAATGAAGAGGTCGATGGAAAACTGTTGAAATCCCGGGGATTCATTATTCTAACGACTGTTTAGGACCAACGTCGCCATCTGTGACGATTAGCTGCAACTAAATGTTTGTTCAAAAAACAGGCGTTAGCCGTGGGACAAGCATTCTCTTGCAATCGTTGGTGAAAGTATTTCCCATATTTTCCCATCTGACTCTGTGATACTCTATCTATATGGTGTTCTAAATTGTCCGAGTTAAAACTCTTCATTTTCGATTCTAAGCCTACAAGAAGCGTAAAACATCGGAAACATGCAGGAACGTACATATTGATTTCTATTCCGGATTTTACTTACATGTTCAAAGTTTTGCTTCGGTTTCGTTTTTCATGCTGGGACAAATTATACGACCATATTGTACTGTTGTATATATTGTAATAATTGTACCGTTGCGAGGAATATTTTACTTGATCGACTACCGTGTTAAATGGTATTTATATACTTTTATGCGTGAATATTGTATAGAAAATTTCCCAGATAAATGAAATGTAAATTCGTTTACTAAAATACCCTGCCTCGTTTCTATTGGGACAATTTTCCCAACTTTACCCTATATAACAAAGTCCAATAAAAAACCAAACCAATAATCTAGTACTTCTTTTTGAAGTTTTAAAAATAATTTCCATTTTGGCCGATAATCGATCTCCGTCGTCTCGCTATTGTAAAAAGTATCATCGGTACTCGAGGGTATGGCTCATCGATCACGGTGGCGATCGGAATCGGCTATTTCCTGTCTTTTTTTAGGGATGCGTACCCTTCTCGTTAGCCGGTCTTGTTACGATCTTTTTTTATTAATTACTACGAAATCTTCGGAGCAGGGTTTCGGCACTGAGTGGCGGGAACTCGATCGAGTTATCTTTAATTGAACGCGTTCCGATCGGTTTTGGTCTCCATCGCTCCTGTGCCACCGAAGGGAAGATCCGATTTCCGGAGATTATGCCCATCGATCAGAATCGTTCTTCTCGAGAGGTTTTACGGCGATACGCCTACCGAACCGGCAACGAGGAGGGCGGAACGACTAATCTCGATTCGCGATCGGCTTTATCAACCACCGTGTGATCTATCGCATCGCTGGATCGTAGTTGTGGGTGGCGATCTCGTCCGATCCAGAGATCCGCGGTCTCACATATCGCGTGTCTCATCTGATAGAGACAGTCGGATGTGCGCCGAGATGTGGATCTCGTTATCTCCTGTACACGACGTTGCTTAAAAAGCGAAAAAACAAAACAAGTTATCGTCTAAAGGCGTGGCCACCGAGCGGATTTATTGCAATCTTCACCGGGACGGATTTACGAGTGAAAACAATTCCTCTAGATATTTTCTTCAATCTATGAAACTTTACCCGCGGTATTAAAAGGCCGGTTATTTTTTCGGATATTTGAGGGTACTTTGAACATTTCCCTAGATACTTTCTTAAATCTATGCAACTTTACCCGCAAATATTAAAAGACCGGTCATTTTTTCGGATATTAGAAGGTATTTTGAAACTTTTCCCTAGATACTTTCTTAAATCTATGAATCTTTACCCGCAAATATTAAAAGACCGGTCATTTTTTCGGATATTAGAAGGTATTTTGAAACTTTTCCCTAGATATTTTCTTAAATCTATGAAACTTTATCCGCAAATATTAAAAGGCCGGTAATTTTTTCGGATATTAGAGGGTATTTTGAACATTTCCCTAGATACTTTCTTAAATCTATGAAATTTCACCAGCAAATATTAAAAGATCGGTCATTTTTTCAGATATTAGAAGGTATTTTGAAACTTTTCCCTAGATACTTCCTTAAATCTCTGAAACTTTACCCGCAAATATTTAAAGACCGGTAATTTTTTCGGATATTGGAAGGTATTTTGAAACTTTTCCCAGGATACTTTCTTAAATCTATGAAACTTTATCCGCAAATATTAAAAGGCCGGTCATTTTTTTGCATATCGTTACAGAGTTTAAAACAATTCGATACCTCCAACCCCGGTAGCATAGAATATTTCCTAAATATTGTTTCGTAATCCTCGCAAAATATGAAGCGACAGATTTTTTTAAGATGTCTCATAGATGTTTCATTTGAAGATATCTAAAACGTTTGTTGAAAATCCCCATGACATATTTAGTTTCAATAATTTATAAACGTGTCAAAATTATATTTTTCAATTTNAAG